TAAATATTTTATTTTGAGAAATTTAAGAAACTTATGACTTGTGCCAAAAGTCACGTGTCTGTCATCACCGAGATTGTCTCAGCTTGGGAACTTAAGTACGAGAGGGGAATGTCATGAATTAAGCACCCCCGCTCGCCCGATTAGAGATCAGCCTCTACTAATCATGATATGATTTTTATCTACATTGCATGCTCTTGTTCCGGTTATTAGGCTAGCATTACTATGTGATGCGCACACACACACACATACGCGCGCGCACACACACACACACACATACACACACAAAAGTATAGACTAATTTGCAAGAATTGGAACATTTCGAGTCATGTTTGTTTTGAAAATTGTTTCGAAATATGTATCACTTGAAAAAGTGATCACATATAAACATTATTCAAATTACCTCAATTCAAGCAATAAGCCTTCATCTACAGGCATACAAGTAGTTTATTAATTAAGCATTTAGCCTCATGGCAAACATGCTAGATATGACAACAAGAATACTCATGTAATTATGCTAAAGCGAGTAAAGGCTCACCTAGTACTCCAAGCCAAAAAGATGATAAAGTTAGAAAGATGCATGATTCTAACTTTATGCAATATGATTAATGCAACAAATGCAACAATGCAACTAATAGGCTCGGCTATTAATATGGCATATGAATCAATGAAATAGTATGCGGTCTAAGCATGTATTCAAAAAAAAAAAAAGTATTGAACTAACAATATAGTTAGAATGATGAACCGAGTCACGGTGTATACAATTCAAATGGATGCAAACATGGAGAATGCTAATTGAAACGTGATGTCCCTGAACTAACCATTATAAGCTAGTAAATAAAAGGGAGAAAGATATGGGGTTGGAAGATATACACATTATTACATTGCGCTCTCACGAAGGAGAGTCCGAATGAATTAACTAAGCTAACTAGCTCACTAATTGAGGCTAAGCTAATTAAGCTAATTATTACAAAACCGACTGAATAACTAGCTAAACTACTTAACTAATTATTACAGCACTTGAATTAACTAATTATTCTAGTTAACTAACTAATTAAATAATTACAACACAAGTGCAATTAAAATAAGTAATTAAACTAAACAACTAACTACTACGTCCTGAGAAATGAGGGATGTTCATGCACATGCTCGGTTTTCACCCAAAAAGCCACTATTTTGCTTCTGAATGCCTCTGTTTACATAGTTGAACACCAACACTATTGCCCACTTCCAGAATAACTCTGCGCTGCCTCAAAAGCACATTGCTCAATTTTTTATCAGTGGCCGGCTAGCCAGTGATAAAGGTTGTCGGCCACCTGCTGGCCATTGAAAGTGGCTTGCCGGCCACTGATGCACAGGTTCATCTTGTAGCAATAGAGGAAAAATAGAGCATATACAGAGTATTTCAAGGGTTTGTTTGCACAACTCACCCCTCCTTTTCATGAGCCAATCCAAAGAGTAGCAAGTTCGGTTCACAAACCATTAATGGATGTAATTTCATTGCACAATGGCTTATGAAACCAAGTGTGCAAGTCCAATAAATGCAAAACAAGACACAAACCTTTCACATTTCATGAATGATCAAGGGAAGTGGTGACCTTGGAACCTTGAATCATTTCATCACTAATGAGTATGAAATGGTTCAAGTTTCCATGTGTTCAATTAACGTCCGACTGAATACAACCAAATTCCTTGGAACCTTGAATCATTTCATCACTAATGAGTATGAAATGGTTTAAGTTTCCATGTGTTCAATTAACGTCCAACTAAACACAACCAAATTATTATCTTGCTCACTTTTAATTCTAAGTTTTAATTACTTTCTTTTAGTTACCTTTCCATCCTTTAATTTAATTAAGTCCAAGGGTGAGTTTAAGTCCTCGAATGGAAAGAAGACTCAAACCAAAAGTTGTTGTAGGCATGAAAGAGATATCATACCGTTGGTAATGAACCCCACTAAAAGATTAAACCATTAAGCATGAAATCTTAATCTTATGCTTTAAACAAACAAATAGTTTGAACCACTTTCAAAGCAAAATAAAAAACCAAGAAAGGAGTGAGGTTGTAGAGATGATTAAGTGCTGAAAATGAGTGAGAAAAACATAAATAAATGCTATCAACTCAAACAAGATGGTGTCTAAGACCTAGAGCACCAAACTCATGAGGACTATTACACTATAAGCATGCAAAACAAAGCTCAAATGCAAACAACAATCCAAAACAATGCTAAAATAAGTCATAAAACATACTGAAATTAAGCTAAAAATCGTTAGATTAAAATGTTAAAACATGGCACCAACTAGGCTAGTAGGCAAGACACAAGGAGGGGAGGTTAACCCCTCTAAATTTGAACTTCAAAACATGCTTTTGGCTACTAAAAAAGCTCTAAAAATCAATGTTTTAAAACTCAAAAAAAGATAGTAAAAGGGTGGGAAACATAAGGACAAAGGCCTCCAAAACAAGGTATAAAGAAGGGTTATCAACCCCTCAACCTTTAATGGCCTTAAACCCAAGCTTCAGCCCAAAAAACACAGAGTTTTGACAGCCCAAAACAATGGAAAAACAGTAGAAAAAATAGTAGAGAAAGCAAACAAATAGGTAAAGCCTTATACTTCTTGAAGAGAAGAAGCAATTCCAAGTAACAAAATCAAGTAAACACACCCTTTAGAGCTCAAACCAAGCTCAAAAGTACCTCAGTTTAGAGATGGTGAGATTTGGTTAAGGGTGTATAGGAAAAGGTTGAAGATTTATAAGTAAAAGTGTAGAGATTTGGTAGAGAGAGAGAAGAAAATTTTTTATCTCAAAATTTTCTAACCGTAAAACATGAGAGAAGGGCCTCATATATATATAGAAAACATGAAATTCCCTCAAGGAGATGCAGCCCTACACGTGGGGATAGATGCATTCATTTGTGCAAACAGCTGGAATAAAATATCTGCAAAATACACTGGTGGCCGGCAAGTTACATCGGTGGCCGGCAACCCAAAAGTGATGGCTGGCGGCTGGCGGCTTTTAAAAGTGGCTGGCAGGCCACCAAAAGCTGCAGGCTTGAAGAACCAAGGCTTGGTCCAAAACTGAGGCAGCAAGGGCGCAGGGTTTGAAAGGCTTAAAATTGTGGCATTCCGCTGAGGATTTCGAGTACTTGACGAGCAAATAAACTCATTATCGGGTGTGCATACAATGGTGTCCAAGTCATAAGGGTTGTAAAAAATGAGGTGTCTACAAGGGTAAACTACCAATTGGTCATAATAGTTGAATTTAATTCCCATAAAGTTTTATTGAAAATAAGTCTTAATAAAATTGTGACTCAAAATAATTTTTCTTGTATGTCGTTAAAAATTGACAATTAGTGATTTTTTTGTCATGATTTTTTATAAATTGTCGCTAAAATTTACAATTAGTAACGTTTTTTTGTGACGAAATTTTCAAACTGTTGCTAAAAGTTAAAAATTAATAACTTTTTTTGTGATAATTTGTTTAAACTGTCGCTAAAACTTATTAACATTTTTTGTGACAAAATTTTCAAACTGTCACTGAAAATTAACAATTAATGACCTTTTTTTAATATTGTTTGATAAAAAACACCATTAATTATCATAGGACCTATTAAGTTCACCTATTTGGATATATATCTAAGTCTTTCTCTCTTTTTTATTTTTATTTTTTTTATTTTTTTATTTTTTTAAACTAAGGTCCATTGATGGAATTTCTATATGATCATACTAGAGAAATTTCAAAATTTCTTTGTGATCATATCAGAGAAATTTCACTATAAAAATTGAAATATCTCTTTGTCGAACAAAATTTTTCTGTGTTGAATTTTCAGTATGAAAATATTGAGAGACCCCAACTATTATGAAAATGTTATATACCTTTTATTTTATAAAATTTTAATATCAAGGATCTTAAAAAAAAATTCAAAAATGAAAACATTTTTAAATTTTCAACGTTTTTGTTAACAAAAACACGAAAACAAAAACATAACCAAACAAGGATTTCTTGTCAAACATGTTTTTTGTTTTCCAAAAAAAAAACAAAACAGAAAAAGAAAAAACAACAAAAAATTTCCCTAATTTTGCGTAATGTCCGCCCCCCTCCCCCCCATTTTTTTAGTATTTTTTATTTTTTTTTTAAAAAACTTTAAACTTTTAGATTCTATTAGACAAGATGAACTAAGAAAATTAAAAATTTTAAAATAAATTTCAAAAAAAGTTCAGAAAATACAAAAATAAGCCAAAAAATAATGCTTGGTTATCATTTTTTAAAAATATTTTTTAGAAAATTGTACTTTCTTATTTTTCGTGATTTTTTGTTTTTATTGAATTTTTTTAATATTTTGAGCAATTTTTTTTTAATTTTTAGACATACCTAACATAAATATACCTAAAAAGTCAAAAAAATTTGAAAAAAACCTTTTAAAAAATTCACTAAATACCAAAAATACAAAAAAATATGATAATTCAGTATATTTTTTATATTTTTATGTATTTATTAATTTTAAAAAATATTTTTTCACAAATTTTTTACTTTTTAGATACATCTAAAGAAGGTGCATCTAAAAAAATAAAAAAATATTTAAAATTTAAAAAATATTCACTAAAACAAAAAAAAACACAAAAAAAAAAAACACGAAAACAAAAAATTCAATTTTCAAAAACTCAAACTAAAACACACTGAATGATTTTTTTGGGCTTATTTTGACTTTTTTTTTTTTTTTTAAAATTTGTTTGAATTTTTTCAAAAATATTCTACTTTTTAGATTCCTCCACACTAAAATGGACCATAAAAAAAAAAAAGAAAAAAAAAAGAGACATAATTTTAAAGAAAAATACTGAAGACAAAAAATTCGAAAAAAAATGTGGTTATTTTTGTGTTCCTAAATCACTAGACCTTTTTCTTTCATGGCATCTGAAGTTGTCATCAAAATGTGTGCGCATTATATATATACATATATATATATATATATATATATAGAGAGAGAGAGAGAGAGAGAGAGAGAGATATGCTACAATGCTACAACAAACCATTTACATATGTAGAGTATTTCAAACCTTGAGCAGCAAGCACTACTCAAAATACATGAGACTGAAAGAGACAGAAAAACAAGCATTACCTAACAAAAACTACTAGGCTGTCAACATCTCTTCTGCTACTAGAATGTTTTTCCCAGTACATACACACAACAAGGCTAAAAAAAGACTTCTTTAGAACACACAAATAATAAACAGCATGCACATCATCTCAAATCCTCAAGGCTTCTTCCGGCAATTAGAGTTACAATCCTTAACCTTCTTTTTCTCATCGAGAAATCAATCCCTTTGGAGAAACAGTACCACTCTAGTTACGACTTTTGCACTTCTCCATGGCTCTTGGGGCTGCAAGAACCAGATTCAAAAACATTTATGATAAAATGTTATGAGAATTATGATGTAAAGTGGTTACATAGCACGTTCATAGAGCCATTTGACCATTTATCGTAATCTGGGAGATTTTTCAAGGTTGTCGGATCATTCCAAGAGACCCATATTCAATCTGAAACAGCCAACCTAACACAAACACTGAATTTTGGCCAAATTATTTTATTTAAGCCTTTAAATTTGAAAATAAAAAAATAAAAAAATGACTACTTGATTTAGAGTTTTAGTTAAATCTGTTTTGAGTTTTGAGTTTAGAATTTTTATTTTTTATTTTTCGCGAAGTTCTTTCTGAGTCAATATTCCAAATTTGAGCTTAATTCAAATTTGCTATTTTTTTTTTTGGGGGGGTAACTATTTGATTTTCTGTAATCATTGCGTCTTCCCCCTACTTACAGGGTTGTAAGTCATTGCGGCTAGTCGCTCATTAATTAAGTTTAATAAAAATACCCCCACAAAAATCTCTATTTCACTTTTTTCTTATTTTTTCTGATATTTTCGTTCATTCCATACATCAGATTGTTGACTAGTAATTTTGATATTTTAAAAGTTTAAAGGTTAAAGGCATATTTAGAAAAATATGAAAGCGATGGATATGCATGCAAAGCATGTATTGAACACGATGATTGAACCAACTAAGCCTAGCCTAGTTGGCCACCATGAGTTTTTTAAGGGTTTAGTCTCAAGAAGGAAGTTGAATTAGGAGACAAATACTAGATGCTTTGCAAGGGGGGGAGGCTAACTCCCATAGGTGCTAATCTAACTACTAACAACTGACTTTCGCTGATAAAAAAAAAAATTGAACACGATGATTGTAATAACAGGTCTGCTAGAGTCAGCTATGTTCAAATTATGGGATTTTGAGTATGAGAGTAATCAATAAATGAACATATATGATCAATTTTAGTTCATACCTAGACCAATCGCATCTGAACTTTTCATGATCCTCAACCTTTTGCAAGAGTCTGTGAACATTCTGCAGAAACAAATACTAGCAGATCAGGACAGAGATACCCCTCTATTATACATCTTGGTTATATGGTAAGAAAATAGAGGATGCATTCAGTGAATGATGAGGTAACAAAATGATAAAAGATCTCAGTATTACACAAGCAAAGTTTTTAAAAGGCAAATGCATTACACAAGGTGTTTTACAGCCCGCTGTGCACTTGGTGGAGACTTATTCCGGACTTGTTTCGATAATCTGAATCGTTCATATTATAGAGTTTATCGACTAAATCATCTATTAAAAAAAATCAAATTAATTGGACATATACAGCCCTATAACGAAATCACATTTATTTTTAAGAAATAAATGGTTAAATAATTTGGAAAATTTTTTAAAAAAATAATTAAGATTTGATCATGGGCTATGAATGTCTGATAAACTTGATTTTTTTCATAGATAATATATTCCACTAACTCTACAATATGAAAGTTCGAATTATCAAAATAGGACTGGGATAAAACCTCAAGGTGTCAAGTCGTAAGCATTTTGAATTTTTATATTTAATAAAAATATTTGAAGGAGTAAAACAATATTAAAAATTAAATATATAGTGTAAATACTTTATCCTCAAGGTATCGAAAATTTGACTACAGAGAAAGAAGTTTGCCTTTATCAAAAGTGAAATCTGTATTATTAACTTAAGTTATCGAGCTTCCCACTTGATACTTAACTTCATATTTTTTTCTTGGTTGATATTTCCCATAAACTATTGCTAAAACAGAGGTTTATCTTTATTAATGTTTAAACCATGAACTAAGTTTAACAAGTTGCTTAAAAATTAAAGCGTTGGTGCGTTTTGAATTAGCATCTCTTCAAGGCTTGCGTTTTGTCTTAGCCTCACTTCAAGGCAATCCTCAATATAGCCTTTTAAAAACTTTCTATACTACAAATTTCCAACTCATAAACTAGAAAAGAAAAAATGTTTGGTTATGTTTTTGTTTCCTGTTTTCATTTTTTTGGAAAATACAAACTTCTTTGGGGAACTGCTTTTGAAAATTATTTTTTTAATTTTTTCCTGAAACACCACACTTTTTTCAGAGACACCAAAAAGTTGTTTCAATTTTTGAATGCTGTTTTTGCATAAAAATGAATTTGAAGACAATTGGTGTTTTTTAACTTTTTATTATTTATGATTCCAAAAAATATGAAAACGAAAGTGCAACCGAATAAGCACTGTACCATGGTTCTAACCAATGACATCCTTTTCTGCAAAACTTGGTTCATGTATTTGATAAGAATATAGACAAAACAAGTGAACATTGCTATTACAGATTTAGGCTGTTTTATTCAATTTGTTTGAGGAATCATATAGGAACAGGTTCAAATTCTGATTAAATGGATTTAACGCAGTCATTATTATTGAGTTCATCCAAACTATATGCTTCTAAAAATGTGATAAGAAGATTCACAGAATATGGAATCAGAGTCACACTTACTCCCATGGAACATCGCCAACAAGCATCCAATCACCATCCTTGTCCTCATAGGTAAGCACATATTCAGAACCGTGGAGAAGATCCATCAACCGGCTCTCACTCAGTCCATCAGTGCTTGGAACTCCATGAGAACCACATTGCCCTGATCCAATCATTCACAATTCAAAAGAAAATTTTGACCTTGAGAGAGAGAGAGAGCATACACATGCTTTTGTAGCATTTCATGTCTATAAAAACAATGACAACTTTGAAAAGTAAAATAAAGGAATTGTTTTCAGCCTAGGAATCGCTTTCATGCTACTTTAGTTGATTAAAGTCTCTTGGCACACAGGATCAAATCCTGCCTTCTTTGGATTGCGGCGAATCTTGGTTAAGGGGAGGGATACACCCCACATGTAATTCATCACATTTACACCAGAAAATGAGATTTTTATTTTATTTTTTATAAAAAAAGAAAAGAAAAGTAAGATTAAGGAATTAAAAGTTCCTTATATCTCTAAAACTCTAGGATTCTTTATGAAAGTCAAATGGAAATATTATTGTTATTCAAAAGTGATACCAAACATCCATATACCGGCATGGGATTCTCCATTCCAAAAAGGTTCATGCCCCCCTATTCCTCATATCTCGTGTTTTGGATGAGAAGTTTTGGGACTCAGGATCCCAGCCCATTGGATACCAAACAAAGGTAATCTTTTTGAACAATACGAGCCGATGATAAAATCAACATTGTTACTTTGAATGAAGTAGAAACCATCATGCAAAACCCTTTGGCTTAGAACAATTGTGGTTTTTAGGAAACTATAAACGGAATAGTCATTTTGTGTCTTGACACAATTATCACATCATTAAAAGACCCAAAATGCTACTTCTTGTGACAACCAGATCATTGCGAGTTAATAAATTCTTAACTAACTTCTTCATTTCTTTTTATTTTTTTCCCTTTTGTGGTAACAATTCATTTCTTTTCAATTTCCCATAACAAAAGATCACTAAGGAAAATTCTAAATGCACAAAATGTGATCACAAAACCAAACACAACCCTTTCACATGAGGTGGGTCACACCCCAAGTGTTCGGTTTTGTAATCAAATTTTGTGCATGTAAAAGAATGGGTAAACAAAAGATGTTCTGGGTACCGAAAATGGGCTATTTGGCATCCCATGGAAGTTGAAACATTCCAATGTTTTTCCCATAGGAACTAACATGAAATGCCTTTGTTTCTGCCAACTTATGAATTGATCCCAAAAAGGAATCTATCGACTATCTTTTAATTGGTTGGACAGTAAGATTGATGATTTACTTCAGGGTAAGGTCCAGGACAACAATTTTTTTCTTAACACATATTTCATAATAGACAGATCTGGGACTTCAAGAGTCAAATCAACAATCTTATCGCTGATAAAAACATAGGAGGGTTTGGGATTCATAGAGAGGTTACCGATTGTAAAGCAGCTGAACATCTTTTCCAGTGCCGAAGACAGTTCTGTATAGCTTCCATAGGTTTTGAGATCAACTTTCCTCAGGTACGGGGCACCATCCATACTGACTTTGACATAGAGACAACCCGAACCCAACTTTGCATCCCCATTTTCATCATTTTTAGGATGGTTGCTAGCCATCGAATTCTTCCGGAAAGATCGAATTGGTGGCCATCCTACAACCTGTGTCCTGTCACACAAACATGAGAACTTTGTGATTAATGTGGCTCAAATGCAAAAGGACCTGAACCAACTTTTTTTCATGACTAATGCAACTGAAAATCCTAAAAGAATAAAGAGATCTGATAAAAGATCAACAGAGCATAGACATATCAGCCCGGGATCCTCCTGTCTCTCTGCCTCAAACCACTCCCAGCCATACGATTCGGTGAGAATCTCGTAACACAGAATCTCGAGGAACGACCATAAGATTTGATGAGAATATTGATACGCAGAATCTTGAGGCACAATCATATGGGGAGTTCATCAGTACAGAAAAAACTGCAATTTGGGGTGAACAGAAAATCTCATGCCATATTGTACCACATAATATATCACAAAAAGAAAAAGATAAAGATAAAACTCAAGCTACTTCTTTCTTTTCAGCTTTGTTCCAAAGCACTCCCAACCATACGATTTGGTGATAATTTCGAAACACAGAATCTCAAGGCACTATCATACAATTTGGTTAGAATCTCGAATCACATAATCTCAAGACACGATCATACAATTTTGGTGATAATTTTGAAACAAAATCTTGAGGCATGATCATACAGGGAGCGAATTGGGACAGAAGAACTGCAATTTTGAGGGGCAGAAAATCTTGTGCCATATTGTACCACATATCAGAGGAAAGAATAAGATGAAGAAGAAAAATCTCAAGCTACCCCTTTCTTTTCATCTCTGATATAGAAACATTGAAAACAAACACAAAACATATAGCTCTCAAAACAAAAATATAAAAAAATAAAATACAACTTATCCAGAACATCAGGACATTGCAAAATTTACAAATTGGGGGAAAACCCAATTTGTAAACAAGTTATTAACAAACTACAGAAAATTCACCACCATATTTTAATCCTGAAAAGAAACTCCAAAGCAGTTACCCCCAATAATTTAAAATAGCATGGGAATGAAAATTTTCAAAAAAAAAAAAAAACACCAAGAAAATTAAACCAAAAATGTTTTGAAGAATTGGGTGACCATGCTACCAGTCTTACTTGCAGTCAAAAAGAGAAAAGTGGTAGAAAGATAATAAAATACAACTTATCCAGAACATCAGGAGATTGCAAAATTTACAAATTGGGGAAACCCAAATTTTGTGAACAACAAAATACAACAATCCACCACCATATGCTATCACTGAAAAGAAGCTGCAAAACAATTACCCTCAATAACAAGACTCACAATAACATGGGAATGACCACACACACACACACACACACACACACACACACAAAACAAACAAACCACCCACCAAGAAAATTAAACAAAAAATAATGTATTGAAGAATTGGGTGACCACGTTAAAAGCCTTATTTGCAGTAACTTTCTCAGGAGAGAAAGAGAGAGAGAGAGAGAGAGAGAGAGAGAGTGATAGAAAATTACTTAGCAGCTGGAGCAGTCCCAGCATGGGCGTTGCCACAGAATCAGGGGCTTCTTCTCGGGCGTCACCGGCTTCGGCGACAGCGGAACAGCCTCTTTCACACCAATGGAAGCCATGGAAGACTGCTGAGTATTAATCTCAGGCACGCCATGAGTCTTCCCACCACCATTGACACCTCTGGGAGAGAACAAACCACCATTTTTCCCCAAATCAACATCAGATCCACCACTCCCAGAGAAAACCCACTTCCCGGAACCACCATCAATGGTGTCTGAGAAGCCTCTCTTGGCCCCCGAGACCAAACCTTTCAAGGCACCAAGTGGGTACCCATTTTTCTTCTCCTCCAACCCACCATGTCCAACAACATTTTTTCTCTCTGGTGATTCAGAACCAGGCAAGCCAAGTCTCAGCTCAGTGGCCTTCAAATTCAAACCTTTGTTATTGTTGTTCCTATTATTATTATGATGATGGTCTTCTGAGGAAATAGTAGTGAGTTTCTCAGAGTTTTCCATTGAAGGAAGCTCTGATAAGCCTATGTAATCATGTTCTTCAAAGGGCATAGACATCAACGATTTTGAAGAAAGGGCATGAAAAAGGGACCTGGGTGTGAAGCGGAAGTAATCCTATATAACTGAAATTCAGGAGTAAAACAGAAAATGAAGTGGTGTTTGGTTGAAGAGAAAAGGAAAGAAAAGTTTCTTTGGCCTTTCTGTAGCTCCTAAAATATTTATCTCTCTATAATCATCTCTCTCTGTCTCAACTGTAAGTAAGAATGTGATGAAAATAATTACGGAATATGATGATGTTAACAAAAGATAGTGTAAAAAGTAACCAAAAAAAAACAGGATTGTTCTTGGGTTAAAATCCAAAAGAAGGAATAACTATTGATTATGATAAGTGTAACAAAAACAGAGACATAAAAATAATATAATAATTAAGATCATCTCTAACGATAAATCAAACTTGATATCATATTCAAATTTTAGTTAAAAAAAATACTTTTTGATACTTCAACCGTTTTACCAAATTGATATCAAAATAAAAATTTAACAAAAAAATCATCAAACTGAGAATAAGGTACTGATTTTACCAAATTACTGTTCTTGACCGTTAGGAGAGCTGAACCGGTCAACCAGCTGATTGTCCGGCCGGTTGACCAACCGGTTGACCGGTTCTCTTTCAAATAAATAGGTTCAAATCGGTCAAAAAAGATTCAAACAGGTAAAAAAAAAAAATTGCTTTTACCGGTCGACCACTTCCCTCAATTCTACTTTGATGCTTATTGTTAAAGCGTCTCGTATCAAATTGAGAAAATTGTCATTTTTTTCTCAAATTTAATGAAAAAAAAATTTTACCATTAGAGATGTAACCAAAAACAGTTTTTTTTTCTTTTTTTTTATCATAAGAAAAGATACTGGTATCATTGCATGTGTGCTCTGTTCGAAATAGTTGATTGACAGTTAAATTAATCTAATTTAAAAAAAGAGATTCACCATTGGGGGGGTAACAATAGACTTCACTGATACTTTACAATAGGTGACAAAAGTCTAACAATATGAGTACAATACCAACTCCGATGAACGAATCCCTCTAGTATCAAATTCTACTCTTCTGTGTGGAAAGCAGGTCTGTTATCCACATTATCACCACCCCAGCGGTAACCAAAAACAGTTTGAGAGCATGTTTGGAAAATATTTATTTTAGTAAAAAAGTCACTATTAAAAAGTTATTTTTTTTTTTTATTCATGTGAGATAAACGGCAAATTTATATTATGAAACCATCTCTAACAGTGAATCAAAAATTTTACTAAATTTAAATAAAAATTTTAATTTGATACCGTTCACTCCAATACTAAAATTAGAATTTTATCAGAGTTTTTCACATTCTCGATTGTCTATAAGGATGTCCAGACGGATGTCCTAGAGGTCGTCTGGACATGAACAAAAAAGCTATTAAAATTGTAGCTATTAAAATTGTTCTTGGTGGACATCTAGAAGGATGTCTGACCCAACGATAAATTTAAATTTGATGAAAGATTAAAGACTCTCGTCTTTTGATGAAAGTTTTGATTTTATCTCTATTTGATATGAATTTAGTGAAAGGGTTGGAATGCCTCATTTGGCTCTTTTCATCAAATTGATAAAGCATCTATTCTAGATTATAGATGCTCCAATCAACTCAAATATGAGGTTCATCTTTTGTCTCACATTTATATTTCATTTTGTGAAAAAATTGTAAATGAGCATTTGTGATTTGGTTAAAATTCATTTTTTATTTTTATTTTTGAAAAACAAAATGGAGAAGTAAATGTTAACTAATATTCTTGGGATATTGCAATTTGGATGAATAGGAAATAAGTAAATAGGCATAAAAAAAATTGTAATTTCTTAGTAGGGTGTTTGGAGCTCATCTTGACTAATTTCATATAGTCTCCATTACATACATAATTACTTAGCCTAAATATTGGAATAAAATTTTTAATATATTTTCTATATTGTTAAGGTTCAAAACCATAATTTTTCACATAGAAGTTGTAGGCTTGTCAACTAAAAACATCCAAATGATATCATAAAAAATATTTTGCAATCGGTAAAATGTATACAATATATATATATTTTGATTTTGTGTTTTTTGTTTTTTAGATGGGAGTGTTAGGAGTACTTGTTAGTGGAAAAAAATTTCCTACAAAAATTATTATTCTTTTAGTAAAAGAATAAATGAATATTACGATATGTTGGAGAGGGGATTCAAGCCTTATTTCTAGTTATTTGAATCTGAGATCACAAGTGTAGTAGAGAAATGATCTTCACTTTTAGGCGGTGTTTGGGAAGAGTTTTTTTTTTTTTGATAGTTTTTTGCTAAAAGACAAAATAGGTTAAAAAAAAAAAAAACAAATTCAGACAAAATATCACATTCAGCCCATAATCATTTCATTTTTTATCTCACACACATCACATTCAACTACAAAAAAATTCAACTATCTTCCCAAACACAAATTTTTTCCTCCAAAAATAATCAAAAACTAAAAAAACCTACTAAAATAACAACTTCCTAAACACCTAAGTATAATTAACATTTTATTTTAGTTGAGTAATTGATCTTGCTAAAACCTTTTATTAGAGGGTAGCCAAATCTACATATAGTATTTTTTTTAACCTAAAATGGCATTTCGGGGCATTCGAGCCCCGAAGCCTCGGGCCCTCAATCAGCGCCCAAAAAAAAATAGGGTACAAACTATTAGCATCTTGGAGCTTGTTAATTAAGAAACAATCTTCAGCATTATTTTTGTCGAAAACATATTAACTTTTTCCTTCTTATTTTTTTCCCACTAGATTAGATAGTTCAAACAATACTATTGTCTGTGAAAATGGGTGACTATATAACATTAAGGCTATGTTTGTTTGGGCGGACTGGATTAGCATTTTCATGACTAATAGTCCTAGGATTACAAATCCGTTAGATTATGTATCCTATCTTAACTAATAGTCAAGTTTAAAATAATTAGTCCCTATTTCAATTGTTTAACCAAACATCAGATTAATAATTTTATTGGACTATTAGTCCAATCCCGAGCTCAAGTCCACCCAAACAAACATGGCTTAACCGTATAACTAAGATCCTTATTCCATTGAAGAGAATTCCAACTCTTTGATATTTAGGCTTTGCCCACACCACTTAAGAGAATTTAACCCTTTAGGCTATGTTTGTTTGGGCGGACTGGATTAGGTTGGATTAGCATTCCAATGACTAATAGTCCTAGGACTATGAATCCTTTGGATTGTGTATCTTATCCTATGTTTGGATTGAGTTAGGATTATAAGGGGGATTAATAAAATATTATCCAATCCAATGTTTGTTTAAGGAGATTTGAATGAATAGGACATGACAAGATATGAGACATCCAATATATTGACCATAATACCCATGTTATAATTAATGTAAAATTTTGCACTAAAATGAGCTATAATTTTTAAAAAGCAAATTTTCATATTGTTGCTCCACATCCATTTCGATTCATTTGAACAAAATTTAACCCATTTTTTTTTAATAGAAAAAATAAAAAATAATTCAACTATAAAATTTATATATACCTTAAGGAGCCATTTTAAAAAATACACTGTTATTTTAATCATCTAATTATTCATTGCTCAAATTCAAAAAAGTATTTATTTAAACAAAATTTAACCCCCACTTATTTTTTAATAGAAAAAATCAAAAACCATTCAAGTATAAAATTTATATATACACAAACAATCATTAAAAAATATGCCCTATTATTTTAATCATCCAACCATTCATTGCCCAAATTCAAAAAGGCATTTATTTAAACAAAATTTAACTTGGATTAGAGCATGGGATTAGGATTATTAATCCGTGGACCCAATTATCCTATATTTGTTTTAACATTTTGGTTTAGGATTATTAATCCAATGGATAATTAATCCAACAAATTTGTAGGATTATTAGTAATGGGGTAGGAGTGGGATTATTAATCCAATGATATTAATCCAATTGGATAGTGAATACCACACTAATTTAATAGGATTATTAATACTTCACTATTAATTTTGTGAATCAAACATGACCTTAATGTCTTGACCTTGACAATAATTTAAGCTATGATAAATCCAACTATAATGTTCAATTTTCCAAATTGCTAGTTTACAAAACAAAATCAAAAAGGAAGAAAGAAAGACAGACCTATTTAGATGTCCTTTGGATTTAAATTGCTACATTTGAAATTAAATTTTTTGCTAGAATAAGAGAGATCTTCACCTTTAGGTTTCTTTGTAAGGAACAGAATTTCGATTTTTATGAGGTCAAAATTTTAAAACATAAATAAATATTATAGCAAAAAACTAGCATTCACCAATTCAAGGAAGACATTCACAGAGAGCAAAAATCCTATAATTAACAGCCAAGGCAATGGAGGCAATTTCCATTTAAAATAAAAAATAAAAAAAGAGCGGGGAAAAAAAAAAAAAAAACAAAGCGGATGCTATTGGATTAATCATAACTTAAGTCAAACAAGATTACAACTAATTTACTTTAAACAATTGAATTAAAAACAAGACTTTGAACCCAAAAATGGGGCTATTAGGGGACAAAAAATTGCCTAATGTCAGTACAATTTACGGCAGTAAATTAATTACCTTATTTACTGATATCCCGCCTAACAACAAAGCTGTTTTTAATAACAATGTTAGTGGAAGACTAATTAATTACCACGAAATTATTGTTTGTTTGAGAATGAGAACATACTTTTTCAAGATTCAATGGGCACCTTAATTATACTTAATCCTTTTTTTTGTTGTTACTAATGATGAATGTTGTAACCATAGGGTCACTTTCAGTGGCAATTTTTTGATAAAATACCATATTTTAGATTGTGACAGACTGTTTATGTAGGGTCACAAAAGCATGGAATGAGGGTTTTGCATTGTGTCCTTGCTTTTGCAAATGGGTAATGTTATGAATATAAAATTTGTACACCAAAAAATATTTTAAAATTTTAATGTATAGATCAGATTCATTAAAAATGTGTGTTCTATTATATAAGAGCTAACTTTGAACAAACTGTTATTTTATTAACTATATTTCTATATATTAATTATGTACATATATCTTTGCCAAATGAGACTCGTTTCATTTTATCAGTTTCTACTATATGTTATATGTTTATCTAGACATATATTTGTTTATCCTAAAGTGGGGATTGTTACAATTCAGACTTATAATTTAAGAAACTCTAATTTCA